GGAAGAGGGTGCACTGCAAGGAGTGACCGTTCAGATATGCTCATGGGCTGCCCCAGCTAGGAGTTGAGCAGGTCATGGAGATGGGAAGGGGAGACCAAAGGAAGGGCTGTTGAGCAAGAGGAATCCCAGCATTCTCCGGGAGGCGCCCCCGACAGCCTGCTTGACCTTGACTCATCCCCACCAAGGGCACCTCTCTGCTCAAACGAGTCACCAGACGTGCCGTGGGATTCACTGACTCCAGTGGGCCTTTGGGAAATCTGAGCAAGACGGGAGCTACCTGTGCTCGCCACAGCTCTGCACAGCCAGCCAGAAAGCGTGGCGTCGCTCCATTGCATGTTGCCCTGTGGAGAGAGTGTGCGTGCAATTTGAGATGGCATGGGGCCCTGGGGAGACAAGTCATTAACTCTGTGCGACCAGTCACAGGGCGGCCACCTGGCTGTCCCTGTCCCAGGAGAGTTTGAGGTATTGATCACCTGATGATGCTGCATGTTAACTTCAGAACTCGTTTCCCAGAATGACTCTTCAGTATTTTTCAAAAATAAAACGTTTTGTTTAATTTCCTGTTACTGTCACAAAACCCCTTGCAGACATGGCTTTGACCATCGGAACTTTGTCATGAGTGCAGACGCGCCTCGCACCCCGGTGGGCTGTCTCCAGGGGCTTGAGCACGCGCAGTGATGTCGCCCTAACAATGAAGCACGTTGGGCTCAAACGTTTAGTTGTCCCTGTGGTTGGGACCTCCACAAATAATTTTATAAGTATTTTGACAAAAAAAAAAAAAGAAAACTTGGCTTTTTAATTTTTGTTTTGCATTTGTATTTGCTAACAAACTGCTAATACTTCATTTCGGTTCTTTTCTTTAGCAGTTTTGAGGAGTGCTGGTGAGTTTTCTGTCTGTGGAGAGTGTCTGTTGGGCTCGCTCTCATGCAGAGGAAGCCTGTGCCGTCCTCCCCCGACCCACGCTGGCGGTGCCATGCCCCGCGGTGCGCCGTGGGCTCCTACCTCCACGCCTCGTAGCCAGAGTCCTCCTTCCAACTGCAATGGTCTTTGATAATGAATAGCCAACCTCCAGCCTCCTATTTACCCCTCAGGCCCGGCAGCAGCCTCTGCTGTGCTCACTCCACGATGAGGAGGAGCCCAGGCCCAGCAAGCCCTCCGGGTGCTGGGGTCTCATGCCACCCGTTGGTGTGGTTGGGAATCCCTTTCTGTCTCCTCCTATTAAAATCTTGAGGCTTTTTGGTTTTCCCTTCACCATCACCTCTTGTAGGAATGAAGCCAGCTTACATTATCTTGATACTTAGTAACTTAGGCGGATTTTACGAACACCGTTCTAGGGTTGTTTGTATCCCTGCACGGGTGGCACTCCAAGAACTCCGGTAACCGGTGCCGTTTCCACCAGGGAGGCGGCCAGACCGCATCATCTGCTGCCCCAGCCCCAGCCCCAGCCCGAGCTCTGCAGAGGTGCATCCTGGGGACCATGTCGGGCCCTGCTGGGGACATCTGACGGTGGGAGTCCTGAGAACATGCCCACCCCAGGCTGAGGTCTCTTCCCTTACCCTGGGGATACTTGAGGTATAAAGGAGAAGTTGCCCCCCGACTCCCTGAGGGGGACGAGCTGCTCCTGAGGCTGTGGCCCCTCAGGCCCCCACCCCCCCACTTTCTGTCAGGATTTCCCTGTTCCCTGGTCAGGTGAGTGAAGTGCTCAGGGACAAGGTCTAGGGGCTGGGGGAGTGAGTGGTGGGACGGGGAGCAAAGGCCCACTTCTCCCAGCTGCCCCTGGTAAATCCAAGCCCAGGTGCTTTTGTGGAACTTTACCTGTACAGTCCTGGGAACTAACCTTCGTGGGGTTCCTTCCTCACTGAGAAGACCTAGGCCTTCCTGAGCCTACTGTCTCTGCATAGCAGACCCTTGAGACCCTGGGGCCGGAGGAGAGTGGAGGGTCACAGCGAGGAGTCCTGGTTGCAGTCTGTGTGGGTCGCAGCTCCCTGGCAGTCAGGCTGCAGTGGTGGCCTTGCTGTCTGACGCCCGGAGCGGCTACCGTGTGTGGGCTCCCAGCCATCACAGGCTAGTACTGGGGACTGCACTGTCAGTGGCATCTCCAGTTCAACCCAGGACCCCAGCTCTGGGTAGGGCTGAGGAGTGGGTCTGGGATGAGGCCCAAGAACCATATCTAGGACCATACCAAGAACCATACCCAGGGGTTCACTGGCAGAAGAACAGCGCCTCTCCCTGGAGTTCAGACTTCCTGGGAGTGCCTGCACCCCTCCCCACTGACTCACATGCCATCTGTTTTTAGAACACGGTTGTTGAGCCGTGTGCTCATGTATTCCTGGTCACCCCTAGACAGTGCCACTGAAATTTACCCGCTCTGGCCCCACCATGTACTTCCCGTGCCTAAGTCCCAAGTACCGCTTCAGAACACGATTTTTCAGAACACGGGGGGCGGGGGTGGCATGTCTCTCTCCACCTTGGGAAGAGTGTGTGTTTGTGAAGGGGACAGAGCCACCCACATGCACAAGAGTAGATCTACATGTGACACACGTTACGGATGTCCTATGTATTCTACGTACAGGGGACCTGGGAAGAATAGGCTTTTAAAAATTCAATTTGAGCTTATATTTTTTTAAAGGCTACATTGCCTTAAATGGCAGCTATTCATTCGAAAGAGTGATTGCAGATTGGAACGTAGCCGTGTGCACGTGATGCCGTGGAATGACCCTTGTCGGACCACGCGGCGTGGTCAGTCTGCTGCATGGGCTTCTGCAAACCCATCGTTCTCTGTGGTGTGTGCTCTCGTCGTGGTGGTGTTTCTCTCTGGGGCTTTGGTGTTCAGCTTTTGCATGTTCACCCCTTAGTTCACCGGCGGAAGGGGTAGCAGCAGGTTCTTGGTGAGCCGTCTTCAGGTGACCCTGCACAGGGTCCTGGGAGAAGGGTCTCAGCTCTGCCTGAGGTGACCCTCATCTCTAGGGGAAGTGATGGAGGCTGTGGCAAGAGAGGCCCTCTGTTTCTACCTCCTCCCTCTCCCCCAGAACTCTAAGGGCCAACCTTTGAGGGACCAGTCAGGGCCCCTCATTTTATGAGGAAAGGGCTACCCACTACACCTAGCATTCCCATTTCAAATTTTAGGAGGAGGCCTCTGCATCAGCTGCTTGTACATCTCCCTGTTTTCCTTGGTGTCCTCAGGTGGTCTGACAAATAAATTCCCAGTATTGAGTTGATTGAAATCTGAGCTAAGAGACATGTAATTTGTCATCCCTGTCGAGGAGGCCAGACATGCTAGCCAGAGCCCAGGCCCTCGCAGCCAGGGGGCACAGAGTTGGCCCTTCTTGGGCCCCGATCATGCAGGGCAGTAGCTGGACTGAGGCTTTGTCATCAAATGCTAGACGCACACACTGCTATGTAGTGCGAAGACTCCAGGCTTCAAAGTCTTCCACGCCTTTGCAGAGCTGGGCCCTGGCTCCTGGTTCGGCCCGTGGCCCACCTTCTCTTCAGCTGATGGAGTGTTATTTTTCAAAGTAGGGAAGTCCTGCTGCAGGGGGGAGGGGAAGAAGCCCCATTTTCTGGGGACTTGCTGGAGTCAAACTTGTGAAGGAGATCCGTGGGTGTGTTCAGAAAGTTTGAAGTTTTGATCACCCAAATGAAAAACCAGGGTTTTGTATTTTTTTGTTTTGTTCTGTTTCACTTTCGGCAAAGCCCAACACCTATATCAGTCTGTCCCTTCACCGCAGTGGTCAGGATAACCAACCCAGTCCTTCTGGTATAAGCCAACCCCATTCTCTACCTTGTGCCACCTTACACGCTGACAGACGAGGTTCTTATGCGAAGAAACACAAGCGTTGAGGTAATTGCGTGGTATGACTGTTGAGCACCTGTACACACATGTACACACACGGTAAAACACAGGTCTATACGATCCAGAGAAAGCACTTAGACATATTTTACTGTTTCAGGCGTCTATCTATAGACAGAAGGGATCTCCTAAGATTTGTTTTTGCCTGTTGCCACTAGACTAGCCTGGGAAGACACCCCTGAGTCACAGAATGCTTCGTCTTGGGGTTAGCTGTGGACTGGGGTGCTGCCACCCTCACCTGATGGGGGAGAAGCCCTGAGAGCCCACTCTTGTCCCTCAGCACATCGTCCAGCTGCCAGTCCATCATCTACATCCCGCAGGACATCGTCAGGGCCAAGGAGATCATCGCCCAGATCAACACCCTGAAAACCCAGGTCAGCTACTACGCAGAGCGGCTCTCCAGGGCGGCCAAGGACAGGTCCGCCACCGGCCTTGAGAGGACGCTCGCCATCTTGGCAGACAAGGTAGGAGGGGCACCCTGCTGTAGGTGGGGCAGGTGGACCCCTTGGGTTTCTAGGAGCCACTGGGCACTCCAGGGAGTCCACTAGAGCTGCCCACAGAGAGTGACACCAGGGCAAGCTTGTGGATCTGTGGGAGGCTCAGGGACTTTACCTGTGGTCACAGATCATGGAGCTGGTCGGGCCAAGGCCAGGGCCCAGAGCCCATGACTCGGGCTGCCTCATGCAGCTGGGCTCCCACCAAGTCCACGCGGCTTGTCTTGAGGGTCGGTGCAGCTCCGCACTCTCAGTAATGGCCTGCTGAGCTCATCCTTAGGCCACATTTCTGTTGTGCTGGAATTTCAAAAAGAAACTGAGCTATTACACAAGGAAGTTAAGAACAATGTAATTTTATACGTAGCTAGTAAACCAGCTTCTAATTAATCGTAGCTTGATCCTGATTGTGAAATACATAAACATTGGTGCATACGGAACAAGTGGTCACCTGAGACCCTGTTGAGGGATGATGCTTTTTCATCTTACTCAGTCTCCCTTACACGTTCCGTACGTACGCATACACCTGCACACAGGTTCTGATACACCTCCCTCTCACACTCGCCGTGCTGGGGCAAGCTGCCATCCCTGCTCAGAACGTGCCATAGCCTTCATGTGTGCTGACACAGCAGAGATTGGGAGCCAGGGGTCTCTCCACTGGGAGAGAAGGGTATAGTCGGCAGTCGTGCGATGGACCGCAGAGCACTTCAGGTGTTACAGGAGATGATGAGGCAGAGCGAAGAGGCTGCAGTCCCTAACTCAGGTGGTGCCTGAGCCCTGGGGACCTGCTCCTGTGTGCAGAGGACAGCCCAAGAGGTCACCAGGGTGGTCACTGGTCTCTCTCCAGGCCCTTCCCCTGGTGATAGCAGGGTCCAGGGCAGGCAGGGGCCAGCGAATGGCAGAGACGACTTCTCAGCCTTGTCCCAGCTTCCGTGTGTCCCCTGTCACTGGGAAGGTCTTGCAGATGTGCAGCTGGGAGGCCGTGTGGCAGCCTTTGTTCTCAGGTGTCCTGTGGGACCTTCTGTCATGTCACAGCCTAGAGAAGGGCCTGGATAGCACTGGGCCTGAGGCCTGTCCTCCTTGGAGGAGTCAGGCGTTCCTGAGCCCAGGTCGGGGCTCAACAGTCTGGTTTGTGTGTGTCCGCAGACCCGGCAGCTGGTCACGGTCTGTGACTGCAAGCTGCTGGCCAACTCCATCCATGGGCTGAATGCCGCGCGGCCCGACTACATCGCCTCCAAGGCCTCCCCCACTTCCACCGAGGAGGAGCAGGTCATGCTCAGAAATGACCAGGAAACCCTGATGGCCAGGTGGACGGGGAGGAACAGCC